CTTTTAGTGAAGAGGAATTTCATTTGCTAAAGTGTGTAAGATATTTCAAATAGATTTACAAAATAATGCTACTAAAGAAAACACGCAGTTTTTAGCGGAAAAGGAAGCCCCTTGTAATACTTTGCAATGAAGATACAATGCCGGAATAATATTGAAAGGATGGCAATAGCCTTCTGTGTAGTTAAACTATAACAGATAGTTGGCAATAACCCGATTTGTACGGCGAGGATAAGGAATGCGATACATGTACGTATGATAATTAAGAACATCCTAAAAGTAACTCTGCTTTTAAAACAATATATTAACCATATTACTTAGAGCACAGTAATAAAGGAAATATAAGGAACATTTATCACACTTATTAACTGTATAGTTTGGTATGGTGCTATGTCATATTTTTCAGAAGATTAAAGGTAAAATGGATAATTTACTATGAGGGACGTTCAATGTTTGGTGCAGAGTAAATCATTTATGACATTCTGTATCTTTTACCGAGTGCAATCACATATATGTTATTCGTTCATCATTTAGTATTTCATACTGAAAACAATTATAACACCCCGACATAATTGTTTTATTTTCTTTAATAAGAAAATAATAATTAAAAAAACCCACCGGAGACGCAAAATTAATTCCTTTGAAATTTATTTGTATATCAGTGATGATGTGCATCCTTAAATCATTCACCCGTGAAATTTCATAATGAACTATACCAACCTTTGAATTTAGAGAGTTCAAATGTGTCTTCAGAAGTGAATGAGTTAAGTAAGAAACACAGATCTTGTATTCTGTATAGTTAAGGAATTTAACGGTTGAATATGTGACAATTTCTTTAACAGGATATTTTTCCTGTGCAGGTATGATAGAGAGTAGAGAGAGAGAGACAGAACCACATTATTCGTTGTTTCCAATTATCAAACAAATGCCATTCTTGACAATCATTGTCTCTATAAAACAGAGTAGCATGAGAAGAATGTGTATACTGCTAAATTACTATTTTTTGTGAGTTTTAATTTCGATGGTTTCAAAGGTCCACGAAGTAATTACAAGTTTGACTTAAAACTCTTCTCCGTTTGAGTGGGTATTCATGATCCGAGAATTCATGAATCAACAAAATGGATTTGTTTTGAGAAACAACGGAATTTGGTCCCCATGAAAATATCTGATTACACACTATAAAACAATATAGCCTGATATTCAACTCTATGAAAACAATATAGCCAGATATTTATCTTCATTTTTCTTTTTTCTTATAATCTGGACCAATTAGTAAATGAAGAATGTGTTCATGCTGAAATATTGTAGCGATATCAGCATTGTCCAATAATACTGAAGCTGTAACTGGACAGAAAATATTAGTAATTACAATGTAACATAAAAGAAAAACCTATACAGTGGTTACCTCCCCTCGTTTACTAGAGAAAGTATTATATACCTATATTCATCTTATTGATTATTAGATGAACGAGACTAACGATACAATTCAAAATTGTAAAATAAAATTAATATTAATATAACTGTCAATATAAACTGAGATTAACTCACCACCAGCACTAAACACGAAAGTGAGAGTTGAGGAGTATAAACAAAATATGTCCAGGTAGAGATTTAGAATGTGATGTATTACTGTTAGTGAGAAAGAGATTTGAATGAAGTTTACGAGTTGAGAGTGGATAATAGGTGAAATTCAATAAGAGTCACATAGCTTGGGGAAAATTATATAATGAAGCTATATTTAGATATGTAAATAAAATATTGTAAAAGTTACAATTTACTACTTTATCAAGACATGTTATATGTTTTATACCTAACAACCATATGATAGGCAAATTGAGCCAAAACTGAGTACTGAAAATAAGAAAATACAAAAATAAAATTAATTGAGACGCAAAATCGATTTCTTTGAAATTTATTTGTATATATCAGTGATGATGTGCATCCTTGAATCATTCACCCGTGAAATTTCATAATGAACTATACCAACCTTTGATTTTGGAGAGTTCAAACGTGTCTTCAGAAGTGATTGAGTTAAGTAAGAAACACAGATCTTGTATTCTGTATAGTTAATGAACTTAACGGTTGAATGTGTGGCTAGATTAATTAAATAAGAGAGTGAAGAATGAGTGTTCATATGTTGAGAACTATTAATAGAACAAGAGACGATTTTAGAGATCTTAATCTAGCACTTGATAACATTTTCTGAGAATATTGAAAAATTAGCGTTAAAGTGCAGCTCGTGTGCCTTTCTCAGCTGTTCAAAACAAACATTTTACGCATTTAATTCATAACGGCAAATACAGGATTTTAAACTGCACTGTAAATTCGTGTTATATAGTGTGATGTTCGGTTTCATCATACGTGATATTAAAATTCATTTTACGCCAAATTAGTTTGAAATTGTATCAAAAATCCTTATGCAATTGGTAGCATAATGGCAGCAAATTTGCACGGGCTATGTATGTTTCGATAGGTGTTTAATTACTACTGTCTGGGCGAGACACGCAAGTGACATCAACAGATAACCAACAGCTGTGTCCTAATTAGCATACCCGACTCATGCGGATTGATTAAGATTAATTTCCTGTGTATTTCCTACGTGGTTCATTACACTCGTGTCACTGTTCCCAGGCGCAGCATCAACCTGGAACGATATGTAATCAATTTATCAACATGGATTGTAAAAATTTCTTTTTTAATTAAGGATTAACTTGAATATCTTTTCATGTTATGGAGAAACGGAGTGTACTTCGTTTTTGTGTGTGTTATAGCTTCATACATAATATATTCAAGTCAATCTTTATTATTTAATCTACTATACACAATCCCTGTGGAAATCCATTTTTATTGATGGCCTCTTAGAAATCATTACGCCGCTGTAAGCGAAGTTACAAACGGCGACGTGATTTTTTTACGTTATGGCTCTGATTACATAAAGTTTTAGGCCAATGAAAATGCTTGTTATAAGCAAGATTAAATTATTTCTTGATTTCTTATTTATATTGGAGTAAGGGTTCAATACACAACACTGTATAATATATCGACCACTTTTTTAGGAATCAATAAACGTTTACTTTGCGCTTCTGCAACATAACAGTTTTGCTCGAGCACGACTGATGAGATTTTGTCTTTGAATTTAAAACATACACGTGCGCTCAAGTTGATATTGCATGTGTTCAATAGCGAGATAATATCAATTCTCAATCATGTACTCACTGACGCAAGTAGATTACAAATGAACACTTTATCACTTAAATTGATATACAGTGTGCGTATAGTGTACATATTTCACCAGCCTTCGGATACTTCTTATATATTAATATATTGGATCACTAAATCCTGGCGTCCTTAAAATGATGTAGCAGTTAAGAATTAATGTATCGAATATTTTAAAATGTTTTAAAGGTTTCAAAACCTGGGAAAATAAAGATTATACGACGCTTCATGCCCAATGGTGTAGGATAGGGACAGTCCACCCAAGTTTTTTTTACAAAATGGATAAAACCCCGAGGCTTGTCAAGGATTTTGCACCAATTGAAAATCCTGAGGATAGAATTTCCCTATCAAGCTGCTTTTGACATAAATACGCACTTTTCTCTCATTGAATTATTACAAAACGACAAAAAGGCGCACGTGAAATGTTAGATTAAAGTTTCTTGCCCCGCGTTCCTACCATGGACAGTTCTGTCATGTGCTCGCAGGAATGAGAGAGAATGATGGCGTTTTTATTGCTGGGGCATTGTGTTCAACAAATCAGGGTGGTTCGTCATTCTGTTACAAGCATTTATTACATACTTACTGATAAATACGGGTTTTTTGTATATGCGATACGACACAATTGCTCTAACCCATATCAGCCCTCGCCATATCACACCCCAAAACCCGTATCAGCCCCCGCCGTATCACACCCCAAGACCCGTATCAGCCCGCAAAACCCATATCACACCACTTTTGGATTTTTTTTCGTTTTTCAATATTACAAAAATAAATTAAATCATAAGATAGTAGTTTTTATTAGTAAATATGTAATAACCAGAATAAAACACGCCTTTTTCCATATCACACCAAGTATCACCCCTTGACCAATATCAGCCCTCGGGCCTTCGGCCCTTGAATTGGGCTGATATTGCAGTCTCGGGTTGATACTGGGTGTGATATGGAAAAAGGCATGTATTATTCTCTATTTAACCTCATAAAAGGAATTATATTGTATGACATATAGTAAATCCTGTAACAATATTAGAACATGTGCATGTACCACAATAGGAAGTGATTGGATGTAGATAGGTATCGATTTATAAATTAAGTGTATCATTATGTATTTAGCATATCCCAGACGATGTCCAAACATTCAAAAATGTTTTTTTTACTGATCAGGGTTGATTTCTTAATAGCGTTTGATTTTTAACTGTTTCTGTTATTAATAATTTAATACTTAGAATGATTTTCACTCGATAACTTAACAGTTTTCAATAACAGCGTGCAATTTCCGTCTGTTGATTTTCATCGGCGGCATTAGAAATATCACTCCCATCAAACTTACCGAAGTCAACAGGTACTTCATTTGAAGATCAGTTGTTAAAAAGGATAGAGCTTTAAGATAAAATTTGCTTGAAGGTAATGGACGGTCAGAACAATAAAAACAGTATACGCCTGTTGAGTAAGTTTCCGATTCAAAGAGTTGACAAGTAATCATGACCTTATGCATTGTTGCCTTACATCCAGCCATACGACTATCACGGAGATGAGCACCAGAGTATTACCACTCAACCACCGATATCAAATCAATCTACTCATTCCCAAATGGCCAACACACAGTTTCCGGAATGGCACTCTATGTCGATTAATATTTGCACATAAAAATGGATTCGCACCAAGCTCTGTCACCATCTATGAAACGACACTAGGTAAACCTGATTTGTTTTACCGGCCATGACTGCTTATAAACTGGACAGGTTTTTCACGTACATTCGTAGCGCAAGGTTGACCAGTGAGATCGATGCTGTACCCCCACGCTGTCTCCCGACATCCTCTATATAATTGCACGCCACCTAGTGCAGAGATCGGTAGCGTTCGCACATCTCTGTAAGTGTGAGGCATTCTTATCTATCACACCGGAGCAGATCGTTCACGCGCATATACACATGCGGATTATATAACAGCCAACTTAGCATATGTGATTTTATAGCGTATAAAATCACAACAGGTGCAAGTTTATAAAAATCTTCGCGTGCATCGGAGGAAACGGGTATCTGAGGACTTGTTTGAGGAAAATAACTGAATCTGCTCAATTACATGAGCAGGTGCTGTATACCGGTAAGTTTAAGGACTGTGAAGCGCCTTATTTACCTGGATCGTAAAATGAAATATCTGAGGTAAAAAATTAACACTCGAGCTTAAATTACATGGATTTATCCTCGGGGCTTCAGTGTGGAAATTAATTTATATAAAACAACGATTTCACGAATTTCAAATAGATCAAAACTAAAACGTTTTAATAATCGAAACGGACGTTTGTAATTAAACTGAGCCAAGTAAGCACATAAATAGCATTATCAGTAATCATATAAGAAAATAGTTTTGGGGAGGTGCATCATACCAAAGTGTTATAGCCAATCATCATGTGACAAGTCGGTTTGCGATAAGGTTATAATGGTGTCATTCTGCAATTGGATGTGACGAAGCGAATAACAGATCTAAGTGTTTGATCAAAATCAAAAGACAAATTGCACTCGACATTGTTGAAAGTAGTTAAACAAATTGTCAATTTTCCATGGAAAACAGCCTTTCAGCTTTTACAACAGTGTGATTTATTTTTAAGTTCAGAAGAACTTGGAGAAAAATCATTAAAGTGAACTATAAGAATTTAAGAAACATCCGCCCTTGGATTCAAATTACGGCGAAGAAGATAAGCAGATCACGCGTGTTGGCGTACATGGATTGCGTCACTGCTAAACGGCCGGAACGCCAACGTGCTAACTAATGGATAGTTCTGATACCGGACTCTGAGGTAAGTCGGTTAAAAAACAACGGCATGTGTAATATAAATTGATTTTATCCTGCACTTCTGTATCACTTTTATTTGTCTGGTAATGTCCTACTGAGTTGTTTTCAAAACGTTGACATTAATGTAGTGAAAATAAAATAAAATAAAATAAAAATGCATTATAGCGATAGAGTAATAAATGTCTAGTTTACTAGACTATAGATGGTTAACGTCTTTTCAAACGCGTTTTAAAAATCAGCTCATCTTCCCTAGATGATAGTTAAGTTGCTCAATGTAACTGTAACATCATTCTTGAGCGAACAATGATGACTTTTAAAAGAAACTTCGACGGCAGGAGATTGAAATCTCGACAGTCAAATGTGTTCCTGTAGCTTTCTTTGAGATAATGGAGATGTTTACATTTGCCATCTTAATAAAAAGAGTAAAAACGTCATATTCTAAATTAACAAGTAAGATCGTGGATCACGGACAGGCCGAGAACGTGGTAATAAGTGATTATATATAACGTACACGGGGTATCATGCGATCTAAGACATATCACGCGCAAAGCAACAGCGATTCCGGATGTATCAAGCACAAAATAACAGCGGTTATGGACATATAAAGCGCAAAGCAACAGCGATTCCGGTTGCATCACGCACATAGTTACAGCGAATCCGGAAAATCAAGCGAAAAGTAAAAATGATTCAGGAATATCATGCGCAAAGAAACAGCGACTTCGGATGTATCAAGCACATAGTAACAGCGATTCCGGAATATCAAGCGAAAAGTAAAAATGATTCCGGAATATCACGCGCAAAGAAACAGCGATTTCGGATGTATCACGCACATAGTAATGGCGATTCCGGACATATCACGTACATAGTAACTGCGATTCACGCCATCACGTGCACAGTTACTGCGATTCACGACATCACGTGAATAGTAACATCAATTTAGGATGTATCACGCGCAAAGTACAAGCGATTCTGGACATCACGGTTTCAACAGTCAATACGTTATCTTACCTATCCTTACAAACAATTGTTTATTTTAGTGCATTGCGTCTTCCACTGGTTGGATTAGCCACATATCAACAACAGTTGAGGACATACTTCAAACATACTAAGGATGTACCTGTTCACATAGCTACATACATTACTGTTGATTAAGAAAAAAATACCCCTGGAGTGCTCGCCCGTTGTCAGTAAAATGTGACCGGGTGGGGCGTCCTGCTCGGTGTCTTCGGCAGTATGTTTCAGTGAGTTAGCACTATAAAGTCGGCATCAGTTCCGCGCTATCACAAGGAGACAAACACGAACATATCGCAGCCTCCCAAAATACACACACATACACTACACGCATGCATCTTGCACACAGGGGAGGCCGTCCTTAAATGACCTTAGCTGTTAATAGGACGTTAAACAAAATCAAACAAACAAACAAACAAACAAAGCTTTCCATCTCCATAATCCCCCAAAACAGCTTTTATTAAAATTTTCGATTTTCTACTCATTATTTTCTAACATTTTGTCATGCTTAACTTATATCAAATCTCAAATATTTGGTTCAACAGTCAATACGTGTTGTCAAAAAAGACATTGTTCATATTTACTTAAACATTAATCTGTTTCCAATGCACAGTACATGTTTTTGTCAAATAGCACTTGGTAGGAAAACACTGAATTTGGCTATCAATAGTCCATATAGGACTAAGTGTATCAGATATATAATTTTTATATTATTTTCTTCTGAGTCCGAAGGTCTGTTAAGAAATAGATAAGATATTAGTCAATCTTTTCATTTCATATTCACATGTACATGGATGAAAGTACACAAATTACAAGAATTTCAAGAAATACGTTCATCTTATTAATCCTACAGTAACTTAAATACCACATACTCCTATTCTGTTTCTTAAATGATCTTTTACTAATAGTATCACTATAATGGTCACCTAAATACTAAACTTGAAAACAAACAAATGAGACTTTCCTTTTATGATCTTCAGCACTCTTTTCCTGAGCAGTAACTTACCAGCATACAGGTAAATGACCTCTAAAGAGCTGGTATTAATGTCATGCGATTTTTTTCGTGTTCAATTCTTGTGAAATAACGCTGTTCAAATCGTTTTTAATTGATTATTTGTTACTATACTGCTTTAATAACGATTCACTTTATTTAACCATAGGCCAGTCGTACCTTATCGTTGAATTCGTATAATATCTATGCAATTCTTAAATGCTCTTATAATATTATAAAAAGCACAACGACATTTTACCTTTCTGTCACATCTCGTATTCACAGAGTTATGCTAAATAAAAAAAATACAGAAATTAATGTTATAAAGCAATATATAGCAAATAAGCGGCTCTGAAACAGTGACCTCTCGGATGCTTCCATATGATGTAATTTATTTTGACGTCATTATATATAACATACACAGACAATACTGTGTATATAGTGACAACAGTTGCGACGTAACATACACAGACAATAGTGTATATAGTGACAACAGTTGCGACGTAACATACACAGACAATTCTGTGTATATAGTGACAATAGATGCGACGTAACATAAACAGACAACAGTGTATATAGTGACAACAGTTGCGACGTAAAATACACAGACAACAGTGTGTATATAGTGACAATAGTTACGACGTAACATACACAAACAACAGTGTGTATATAGTGACAACAGTTGCGACGTAACATACAAAGACAACACTGTGTATATAGTGACAATAGTTGCTACGTAACATACACAGACAACACTGTGTATATATAGTGACAACAATTGCAACGTAACAAACACAGACAACAGTGTGTATATATAGTGACAACAGTTGCGACGTAACATACACATACAACAGTGTGTATATATAGTGACAACAGTTGCGACGTAAAATACACAGACAACAGTGTGTATATAGTGACAATAGTTACGACGTAACATACACAAACAACAGTGTGTATATAGTGACAACAGTTGCGACGTAACATACAAAGACAACACTGTGTATATAGTGACAATAGTTGCGACGTAACATAGACAGACAACAGTGTGTATATATAGTGACAACCGTTGCGTCGTAATATACACAGACAACAGTGTGTATATAGTGACAACAGTTGCGACGTAACATACACATACAACAGTGTGTATATATAGTGACAACAGTTGCGACGTAACATACACAGACAATTCTGTGTATATAGTGACAATAGATGCGACGTAACATAAACAGACAACAGTGTATATAGTGACAACAGTTGCGACGTAACATACAAAGACAACACTGTGTATATAGTGACAATAGTTGCTACGTAACATACACAGACAACACTGTGTATATAGTGACAATAGTTGCGACGTAACATAGACAGACAACAGTGTGTATATATAGTGACAACAGTTGCGACGTAAAATACACAGACAACAGTGTGTATATAGTGACAACAGTTGCGACGTAACATACACATACAACAGTGTGTATATATAGTGACAACAGTTGCGACGTAACATACACAGACAATAGTGTATATAGTGACAACAGTTGCGACGTAACATACAAAGACAACACTGTGTATATAGTGACAATAGTTGCTACGTAACATACACAGACAACACTGTGTATATATAGTGACAACAGATGCAACGTAACAAACACAGACAACAGTGAGTATATATAGTGACAATAGTTGCGACGTAACATAGACAGACAACAGTGTGTATATATAGTGACAACAGTTGCGACGTAACATACAAAGACAACACTGTGTATATAGTGACAATAGTTGCGACGTAACATACACCGACAACACTGTGTATATAGTGACAATAGTTGCGACGTAACATAGACAGACAACAGTGTGTATATATAGTGACAACCGTTGCGTCGTAATATACACAGACAACAGTGTGTATATAGTGACAACAGTTGCGACGTAACATACAAAGACAACACTGTGTATATAGTGACAATAGTTGCTACGTAACATACACAGACAACACTGTGTATATAGTGACTATAGTTGCGACGTAACATACACAGACAACACTGGGTATATATAGTGAAAACAGTTGCAACGTAACAAACACAGACAACAGTGTGTATATATAGTGACAACCGTTGCGTCGTAATATACACAGACAACAGTGTGTATATAGTGACAACAGTTGCGACGTAACATACAAAGACAACACTGTGTATATAGTGACAATAGTTGCGACGTAACATAGACAGACAACAGTGTGTATATATAGTGACAACAGTTGCGACGTAACATACAAAGACAACACTGTGTATATAGTGACAATAGTTGCGACGTAACATACACAGACAACAGTGTATTTATAGTGACAACAGTTGCAACGTAACAAACACAGACAACAGTGTGTGTATATAGTGACAACAGTTGCGACGTAACATGCACAGACAACAGTGTGTATATATAGTGACAATATTTGCGACGTAACATACACAGACAACAGTGTATTTATAGTGACAACAGTTGCAACGTAACAAACACAGAGAACAACGTGTATATATAGTGACAATAGTTGCGACGTAACATACACTGACAACACTGTGTATATAGTGACAATAGTTGCGACGTAACATACACTGACAACACTGTGTATATAGTGACAATAGTTGCGACGTAACATACACAGACAATACTGTCTATATAGTGACAATAGTTGCGACGTAACATACACAGACAATACTGTCTATATAGTGACAATAGTTGCGACGTAACATACACTGACAACACTGTGTATATAGTGACAATAGTTGCGACGTAACATACACTGACAACACTGTGTATATAGTGACAATAGTTGCGACGTAACATACACTGACAACACTGTGTATATAGTGACAATAGTTGCGACGTAACATACACAGACAACACTGTGTATATAGTGACAATAGTTGCGACGTAACATACACTGACAACACTGTGTATATAGTGACAATAGTTGCGACGTAACATACACTGACAACACTGTGTAT